ACCACCCGTTGCAAATCATTGCAATCTGCTGCCATCCACGATCACTTTTCTGCATGCACTCTCTGGCTGACCTCTGGTTGTTTATAGCTACCTCTCTGTTGTGCATTCCACTGGGATCTACATTTGTCTCCAGTACATATGGATCATTCTCCAGGGCTTACCACATAGAAATAGAAAACCTGAGCAGTCTAATCACTGGCAAAGGACTTGAAATAGTAACCAGAATTCTTTGGGAAAAAAAATTCACGGTACCAAATGTCTTCACAAATGGGTTGTCAAATTCTTACCAAAAAATTGAGAAGTGATGTTCCTAGACACATTTTATGAGGCCAGTATCACTCTAAAACCAAAATCAAAGATAACACAGAATAATAGAACTACAGACCAAATTCCATAATGAACACAGGTGCCAAAACCATTCATCAAATATTACAATGAATTAAAAGAATTATATACCATGACCAAATGGGATTTATACCAAGGACACAAAGGGAATTCCACATTGACTTTATTTTTTTTTAAAGATTTATTTATTCATACAGAACTGGGGTACAGGCCAGAGATGTGGAGGGTGAGAGGATTCACCAGGGATAGAGTGGGGAGCAGAACAGGCAGATCCACAAAGTACACTGCTGAGGGGAGCAGCGGGCGGATCAGGAGAGGTCTGCTATGCAATGTGGATTTCCTCCGGGGCAGGCGGGATCAAACTCATGCGGAAGTGGCTTAAGCTTCTTAGTGCAATGCTTTAACCTGCTGTGCCAACAGGGAGGGTCCTCTGACTTTATTTTTTAACAAATCAACAAAAAGTAAAACCATATGATCATATCAATAGGTAATAAGAAAACATTTGACAAGATTCAATAGCCATTTATGTTAAAAAACTAAAATTGGATACCAGTGGCACTTATCTAAACATAATAAAAGTCATATAAGATAAACCCACAGCTAACATCCTTCTCTATGGTAGAAAACTAAAAGGTTTCCACTAAAGTCTGGTACAAGACAAGGTTTTCCATTTTTCATAACTGCTAATCAATGTGGTATTAGAAGTCCTAGCTAGAGGAGTAATGCAAGAGAAGGATGTAAAAGTAATCCAAGTTGAGAAAGAAGTAGTAAAGCTGTTGCAGAGGACATCACAATATATAGAGATAACTCTAAATACTCCTCTGAAAAAATAATTGAAACAATCAATTAAGGTAAGTTTCAGGTTGTAAAATCAATATACAAAAATTAATTATCTCATTTTATATATATATATATACGCACATATATATATATATACATACACGCACACACACAGTGAGACCTCTCCTGACCTGCCCACTGCGCCCCTCAACAGTGGATTTCAGGACATCTGCCTGTTCTGCTCCCCACTCTGTCTCTGGTGAATCTTCTCACCCACCATACCTCTGGCCTGTACCTCAGTTCTGTAAGCATAAATAAATAAATCTTTTTTTTTTTTTTTAAAGACAGACATCCTACTGAATAAGAGAAAATGGCCACACTGTGTACATCTGACAAAGGACTGATATCAAAGATACACACATAAAAATCAACAGAAAAAACCCAATTAAAAAATGGGCAGAAAAGCTAGGTAGGCAGTTCCTAGATGTACAGGTGTTAATAAGCATATGAAAAAATATTTATCAATGAAATGCAAGTCAGAACCACAATGGGATACCAGCTCACACACATGAGAATGGTCATATCAAAGAGACCCAAAACATCAAGTCCTTGAGTGAAATAAAATGAATTGTTTTAACATTTTTGATGGAAATGTAAGCTGATTCAGCCCAGATAGAAAACAGTGTGGAAGTTTCTAAAAAAATTAAAAATGGATCTAACCATAGATCCTTGCACTTTCACTTCTTTAAATGTATACTCCAGTACACAAAAACACTAATTTGAAAGATAATCTTTACTCCCATGTTCATTCCAGCATTATTTCCAATAGCCAAGTTATGGAAACAGCCTAAGTGCTCAAAAATAGATGGGTGGATCAAGAAATGTGGTATGTATGTGTGTGTGTGTGTGTGTGTGTGTGTGTGTGTATATATATATATATATATATATATATATATATATATACACTGGAATATTATTAGCATTCAAGGAAAAATAAACTTATGCCATTTGGGAGGTGGAAGGGATTGTGCTAAGTGAAATAAATCAAAAGGAAAAAATACAGTATCTTTTGGTATTACTTATATGTAGAATACAGAGAAATAAAACAGAGTCAGATATTGCCAAACTAAAACTAACCCTTGAAAACTGATGATAGAACTGAAGAATTCAGATAGGAGAGGGAGGAATACACACAAATGTGGGAGGAGTCAGAGTGGACTTTGTGGACTGTGAGTGGTAGGGGCACTATTAACATTGCTGGAAGTCAGGTATTCTGTATTTCCAGAATACAAACAATGTAAGCCAGTGTAAAAGAATTGAAAGCTCAGAAACTCAAACATAGTCAGCTATATTTGACAAAGTCTCCAAGAAACCATAAAAAACAAAAACAAAAACAAAAAAAAAAACTAGCTTCTTTAATAATGGTGCTGGGATGTTAGAACATTCACATGTATTCACCAAAAATTAAGTGAAAGTGGATTCAAGTCATAAAACTTCAAACCACAAAACTCTAGAAGATGATATGGGAATAAATTTTCTTGACATGGGCTTTAGTATTATTTTTTTGGATTGAAACCTAAAGCACAACCAACAAAATAAACTAGCAGGGCTACATAAATGCACAGCAAAAGAAACTATCAGTAAATTGAAAAAGTAAACTACAGAATGGAATAAGTATCTGCAAACTGTATATCTGATAATAGAGCAACATACAAAATATATTAAAAATTTTTGTAATTCAATAGCAAAAAAACATTTAAACATCCAATAAAAAATGGTTTAGAGGGTCTGTGTAGACAGTTATCTAAAGAATACATACAAATTCACAACAGGTACCTGAAAAGGTGTTAAACATTACCATATCACTAGGGAAAGGCAAAAAATTCCACAAGGTATCACCTAATGCAAATAGTATGACATCAAAAAAGACAAGATGTAACAAATGTTCAACTGGATGCATAGAAAAGATAGTCCTTGTGAAATTTCTATGGGATTGTAAATTGGTATAGCCTGTATTATCAAATAATTGAAAATGGAACTACCACATGATTCAACAATTTCACTCTGAAAATATATTCAAAGAAAACAATAATGCTAACTCAAAAACATATGCACATCCATGTTAATAGCATTTTTACAATAGTCAGGTAAGCAAACAACCTAACTTTATAGCACTAGATAAACAGATGAATTGTGGTATGTGCACTACACATACACACACACACACACACACACAGAGGAGTATTATTCAACCATAAAAAAGAATAAAATCCTACCTTTGTAACAGCACGAATAGACCTTAAAACCATATTCTAAGTGAAATAAGAAAGACAAATGTTGTATATTAAAGAAACTGTAAAACTAGAGCAAACTTACAGAAAAGAGCCTTGTGGCTACCAGAAATGAAGATGATGGGAGGGGAAATTGAAGTTCACAAAGAAGTTAGTAAAAGGTGAAAACTTCCAGGTTTAAGGTAAGTACTAAGGATGTAATATATAGTATGAAGGTTATAGCTAATATTTCTCTATAGGGAAGTCACAAAGAGAGAAAATCCTAATAATTTTTCCAAAGACCATTTTCCCCCTTTTTCTTTGTATTATATTTCTCTAAGAAGGTGTTATTAAGTGAACCTATTGTGGTAATTATTTTACAGTATATGTAAATCAAACTATCATGCTGTATACCTTAACCAGTTATTTCTTAAACTGGAGTTTGTTTTTCAAGATAGGAAATACACTTTAGTTAAATTTAGGAGAGAGAAAATCACTCTAGAGAGTAAAATGTTAATTACATAGTTCTGACTTTTTTTTTATAGTTCTGACTTTTTTTTTTAAAAAGATTTATTTATGCATACAGAACTGGGGTACAGGTCAGAGGTGCAGGGGCGGTGAGAGGATTTGCCAGAGACAGAGTGGGGAGCAGAACAGGCCAACTGATGAAGCACGCTGCTGAGGGGAGCAGTGGGTGGGTCAGGAGAGGTCTGCAGCACTGGTGGGTCACCTCTGGGATGGGTGGGTATAGAACTCATTGCTAAAGTGGCTTTAGCTTTTTAATGCTCTGCTTTAACAGGCTGCACCACCAGGGAGGGTCCTCCATAGTTCTGACTTTTATTGGCTCTTTTTCTTTTTCTATGTAATCTTTAGTGTATTCCCTAATTTTTCATTATTTCAGTTTTCTTACTGATCAACTCGATGTTTACTCTAACCAAAACTGGGAAAATAAACTGAAATTATAGGGAGTAGTATCATACCACTTGGATATGCTGTAATGACTAGCTAATCTCAGTAATATTCATCGCCAGCAATGTTTTCTAGTGATTTTTTGTTGTTGCTGAAAGATGCTACCTTCTTCATCTGTCAATTAAAAATACTTCGAATAAGTGAGGAAATTGTACCCATTTACCAATTCCTTTTTAACTTGATTCCAAGTTTATGCTTATATAAATTATAACAATTGTTGGGAAATGAATGTATATACTTAAAATATCACAAAAAGTATAATTCTGAATGCACATATTATATATTGGAACTAAATATGGAAATAACTTGGCAAAATGCTAAAAACTTAAGACAATTTATATAATGACTTAAAGTTCAGACATAGGAGGATAAATGGTATTGCTCCAACATTATTTAAGTTCTGACAAATATCCTTACAGTTGCATAGTTAAGTAATATAGTAATTCTGAATGTTTTAAAAACTAGGTCTAAATCATGTGCCACAGTGATTTCCAGAGGAGATGGAGAAGAATGATTTCCAGAGGAGATGGAGAAGAGTAAATTCCCTCTATTCTAAATTCCTCTAACTTCGTGATAATGCTCTGAGTCTTGCATTTTTATAAGTTGTTATAATATGTGTTATTTGTGCTTCTATAGATGGTAACTGGAAAGTTTCCATAACCACCAGTGATTTGCCAAATGCAGGGACGACATCGCAGATTTATATTATACTATATGGACAACGTAGAAGTTCGGCTCCCATCTATCTTTATGGAACAGGTGGAGCACAATTTCAGGATGACAGTGAAAACATTTTTACTGTAAGTAATAAAAATAACCTAAAATAAATAAAAATAACCTAAAACCTGTTGATATATGTGAGCAGATAGTATGTACATTACAATGAAGCAATCTATTGAACTGTATACTTTGTATCATAACACTGTGTGTGCTATAGAAGGTAAGTTACCAGTAATCATGGCATCTTTTGCTAAAGCAGATTAAATACAATTTATATTTCTCTACTGGTTTATGACACTGAATATTTTCCAACAAGATTTTCATCTATTTGCATATTTTTTTGGAGAAAATCTGTTGATATTTTTGGTTTATTTTTAATTGGATTGTTTTTTATTGTTGGATTTTAAGACTTTCTATATTTGGATACTAGATCATCATCAAAAATAGATAAATATTTTCTTTTCTTTTGTAAGCCATCTTACTGTTTTTTCCACAGTGTCCTTTGATACATAAAATTTTTAATTTTGATGATGTTCAGTTTATATATTTTTTCCTTTTATTGCTTGTGCTCTTGATATCCTATCTAAGGAAACATTGCTAAATTCAAGGTTATGAAGACTTACCTCCTTTTGTTTTGGTTCTTTGATCCAGTTAGTGAAATGTTGTTACATGGTAAGATGTAAAAAAATTCTAATTCCGTTCTTTTGCCTATGAATACCAATTTTTGTTAGAATGTGCCCTTTTAATTATATACTTTTTACTGAGATGATATTAATTTACAAAACTACATGTGATTTAGAAGTAAATTCACACCTATTTACATATATATATGAACATATATACCATGCAACACCTACTACCATAGCCCTCATAATCAATTCTCTACCCTGGGCCATTAGGCCTATTCCTCACTTTGTTATATGCTCCCCACTATATCCTCTCCTGGTATCCTCAATTCTGTTGTCAGGTTTATAGGTTTTATTTTAGTTTTGTTTGTTTCTTTGTATTCTTCTTTTTAAAAAATATTTATTTATTGATGCATACAGAACTGAGGTACAGGCCAGAGGTGCAGGGGCAGTGAGAGGATTCACCAGGACAGAGTGGGGAGGAGAACAGGCCGACTAACAAAGTACACTGCTGAGGGGAGCAGAGGGCATGTCAAGAGAGGTCTGCTACAGCATGTGGGTCAGCTCCAGGGCCAGGAATCGAACTTACACGAAGTGGCAGTGGCTAGCTTGCAGTGCTGCACCCTAGTCTGTTGCACTACCGGGGGGACCCTGTTTCTTTTTATTTTACACTTCAGTGAAACTTATTTAGCTTACTATAAATATCCTTATGTTTCATCCATGTTGTAACAAATAGTACAACCTTAAAAAAAATCTGTGTAGTTCATTTTGTATACACATCATATCTTTTTGTCTCATTCATCTGTTGTTGGGTACTTAGGTTGTTTCTGTAGGAATAATGTTTCCTGAAAACCAAAATTTCTTGCTTTATTTTTGGAAGAGTTTGAAATTCATCATTGCAGGTTTTAGTAAAACTAATAATGAAACCTTGTTCTGGACTTTTATGGTCACTTTGGATTACAGTTCCAACTTTCTTGCTTCTAATTTGCTCATTTAAATTTTATGGTTAGTCTTGGTTTTCCTATTTGTTGTCATTCAAGTTATTCATAGCAGTCTCTTATGATCTTCTGAATTGCTGAGATGTCTATTGTAAATTCTTTATTAACTTTTCTTTTTCTTATTGAGCCTTGATAGAGGTTTGTCTACTTTTTCTTTTTAAAGAACCAACTCTTGGTTTCATTGACTTTTTGAACTGTCCTTTAGATTTCTATTTTGTTCATTTCTGTTCTGACTTTTATTATATTCTTTCTTTTACCTCTATTCACATTCTAATCATTATTACTCACTTTCTTTTGTTGCCTTTGCATTTAGTTTATGATTTTATTTCTAGTTCCTTAACTTATAAAGCTGTTTGCTAATTAGAAATCTTCCTTTCTCTTTATTCATTTTCTTTTTTTTTTCCCATTTTTCTCTCTTCTTTTCTTCTTCTGCTACCATGTACCTCTCCTTCACTTTTATTCCTCCTTGTCTCTTCCTCTTTTTTGCTTGTATTTCTGGATTTATCAAACAGGATTGCCAAACTTTTTCCTGCAGTATGTCTTCCAGTCTAGGTAGTGAGCCCCCATCTGAAGTGATTTCTTCTATTTAGTACATTAAATTTCATGGAATTACAGATAAAAATTTCCTCTGAGTTCTACTTTCATTGCATTCCCTGTTTTTTAAAATCATGTTTTTTTTTTAGTCATTTCAAGTATTTTTAAATTTCCCTTGCCATTTCTTCTTTGTATTGTTTGCTTAAATGTGTTAATTTATACACATTTGTAAACTTTTCTTCCAATATTGATTGGTAGTCTTACTCCATCATAATTAGAAAAGGTACTAAGTATGATTTTATTGTTAATTAATTTTTGAAACTTCTCATGTGTCTTATAGTGTATCTTGGTGAATATTCTCATGTATTTGAGAAGACTGAGTGCTACATTGTTATACATAGGCATGTTATATAATACCTATTTGATCTAGTTGTGTGTTTTTCAAGTCTTCTATTTCCTTGTTGGTTGTCTGTATAAGCATTGTGTTATTCAGAGTGAGGTATTGAAACCCCCAGCTATTTTTCTAAACTGTTTATTTTTTATTTAGTTCTGTCAATTGCTACATCATAAATTTTGGTGCTCTGTTATTAGATGGATATGTATTTGCAATTCTTAAAATCTTTTGATGAATTGACATTATTTTATCAGTGTCCTAAGTTGTTTATATATATATATATTCTAAAAAGTGAATTTAGGTAAAGTTACATTGAAAGATGACTTCTTGTTTCCTTTATAGATCACAGTTGGAGACATTGGTACCCTCTTTAAGATTCGTGTTGGTCATACCAACTCTGGACTCTCCCCTTCCTGGCACTGTAAAGAGGTAAGAATATTCTAAAACTCCCAAACTTCACAGAATCAGCTGCAAAATCTATTCAGTAATTAAACCTGAAAGAGGCATTTCACAATTGTGATTTGATGAAGTAAACCCTGAACCTTTTTAGTTAGTGTATTCCTCAAGACAGTAATATCATATGCTATTATTAATAATTTGATTCCTAATTAATTGAGGCTAGTATCTCAGACTAATTTACACAAATTCCCAAATATAGTTTCTTTGCAAGGGGAAAGTTTTCAGTGCATTTTATTATTACCCTTGCAATTTCTTCTTTCTTCTATTTGCATAAAAGTGTTTAATTTACACACACTTGTTTTAATGTGTGGAAGTTAAAAAAACTTTTTTAAAGAAAAAAAGCAATTGTTTCTTTCATAGTTATGCTAGTGATGAAAAGGTGACTAGATAGATGTTAATTTGCTTCCAAATGTAGTTTATTTTAGTTGGTAGAATAGCAATAAGCTAGGATTGAATGCCAGTTCTCAAATTTAGTCTGTTTATGTAAGCAAAATAATGCCGACTGAGTACTTTTAGCAGTAAAAATAAGCTTAATTTTTTTACATTATTCAGAATTAAAAATTTTACTTACAGCCATGATTAATACTGGAAATAATACAGATTTATATCTATCTTCCTGTCATTTTAAAATAAATGATCTCTGGCTAATGTAGTTTTCAGAATTCAAAGAATATCTAGTCAAACTCCTAATAGACCTATCAAACTGATCCTATGGTTTTATAATATATGAAAAAATTAATGAAAAATTCATGGAAATTGAGTAATCCCTTAAATATATTTTTTATTTCATTAGCAGAAACATATAGTTGTTAATAATGTTAGCTTTTTCTCATTAAAATCAGAAAACATTTTGAAAAAATAAAGCATGAAAATGCAGAATGTACAAGTTAGATTTCCAAAATCCAAAATTCTTGTCTTTCTTCTATACAAAATAATTCATTCTTGGCTCTCCCTGGTGGCGCAGTGGGTTAAAGCACAGTACTGCAAGTCAGCCACAGACCTCTCCTGACCTGCCTGCTCTTCCCCTCAGCAGTGTATTTCATGAATCTGCCTGTTCTGCTCCCTACTTTGTCTCTGGTGAATCCTCTCACCGCCCCTGCACATCTGGTCTGTACCCCAGTTCTGTATGCATCAATAAATAAATCTTTTTTAACAAAAAGAAAATCATGTTATCATAAAAAAATAATTCTTTCATGTTATAAAGAACATTTGAAGTGTGATATTCATTTTGATACATATATGATTACATGTAATGGCCCTCCCTGGTGGCGCAGTGGGTTAAAGCACTGCACTAAGAAGCTGAAACCACTTCCACATGAGTTCGATTCCCACCTGCCCCGGAGGTGACCACATGGTGTGGCAGACCTCTCCTGACCCGCCCGCTGCTCCCCTCAGCAGTGTACTTCGTTGATCTGCCTGTTCTGCTCCCCACTCTGTCTCTGGTGAAGTCTTTCGCCACCCCTGAGTCTCTGGCCTGTACCCCAGTTCTGTATGCACAAATAAATAAATCTTTAAAAAAAAAAATTTAAGTAAGCCAAATTATGCCTATAACTTGAAGGAACTTGAAAACAATAAAAACAACCCTGAATTCATTATAACAGTATGATACATTTTCATAGATCATAAAACAATCATATCATATATTGTACCTTGATCTGGATTCTTTCAAGTTTATTTAGGGAAAACAAAAATCAATTGCTGATTTATTTTGTATTTCTTAAGTGGTCTGCCTTAGGCCTTATTTAAAATAACCAAATCACATAGGGATGGCTTCACCAAGCAGCCATACAGAGCAGTGGTAATTCTGTCTGGTTTTCAGTGAGACTTTGAAAAAGTATGATTATATCAGAATCATACTTCATGTACACATATGAATAAAAATTTCTGGGCTTAAGTAAAACCTACAGAATTAGTAAGTTTAGAGGCTGAATATATGCCTTTATAACAACATAATCTCACAAACACATTCATCTTGAAAATCTTATTTTTAAGGACAGTGAGATGAATGTAACTGATAAACTTACAGCATCTCATTGAGACTTTAACAAGAATGAAAGTAACTTATTCATGAAAGATTGGCTATTAAAACAAAAACAATAAAATGTACTTTTTGATGATTTTGACATCATTTATGTGCTCTGACCAGAATTTATTTTTTGTTTAACTCTAGGATAAATTGATTTATAATATGTTATAATAGTTTCCTCTGGGATCCCTGGACTTCCTTGTTCTCAGGGCTGTTGTCTTGGTGCTCAGTGTCCACACTGGTCAGCTGAACATACAATCAGGCAGCAGACCTCTCACCAAGGACAAAAATCTTCTATGAGGAACATACTAGTATATTAGTATCTGCTGAAAACAGCAGGCATATATTATGGCTAGATTAGCAAGATCAGCTAAAATATTTGTAAAGATTAACAAAAAGTTAGACAAGACTAGAGAACAGAGGTATATGCTCTGACTAGCAGGAATTATGGAGCCCCCCAAGCTACAGCCCCTGATCACTCCACTCGAACTTGCATCAGGCTTTAGGTGCATCTCTGATATCACATCCCCATGCATGTACATTCCCTAGGTGCTTGCCCACTTTGAATCTGATCCTAACAATACGAGAATAGGAGACTGCCTTTGGATCAGAGCTGTACATTTCTTCCAGATATAGCCCCTCTGGGTTCTCATTGTTCCAACCCATCTGGACTTTGAGTAACCACTCTCTTATCCCCCACTGCTCCCAATGCTGCTGCTCTCTGAGGGGGCAGTTATCCAACATACAGTTTTTACTTTAGTTTAATTCACTTACAGATAAAAAAAATATTCATAGCACTGGGAAGAAATTAGCAAAATATAGTAGAAATATATTTTGAAATACTTTCAAAATATAGTAGAAAAAGAAAATTTCAAATGAAGAAAGATCATTCTACTTGCAATGACAACAAAAGAAGACATCACTTTTCTTGTAAGTATGCAAGAAATTTTTTATTTAAAATGAAAAAGCTAAAAATGTTTTTTGTTATGCTAAATATCAGGCTTGGGCAATAAGTTATTTACTCTTTGTTAAGTATTTATACTTTTTTTTTGGTTAAATATTCTTGCTGTTATAGATACAATTGTGGAATAGGAATTCTGGAAAACATTTTTATATACCTGTTCAACGATGGTTGGCACAAGATCAAGAAGATGGGGCAATCTGTCGAGAATTTCCTATCTTAAGCCAAGGAGAACCTGTCTTTCCAGGTACAAATACCCAAGGCCAGACAATGATTTGCTTGCCTAAAGGCCAAGGGACTGGAAACTGAGTGAACACATGTTGAGTAGGAATAAGAAACTGTTTATTTTATACATTTTTGATTGGGAAACTTAAATTAAGAGTGGCTGCAAAGCTACTCATTAGTAACTTTTTCTGGTATAACTGTCCTAAATATATTTTTTAGTTGTTTTGTGTACTGATAACAAAAATATATATCTTGTCAACATTTACCCCTGTGAGAAGTTCAGCTGAAATTGCTCATAGTCAAAATACTAAATTAAGACTAGAAAATCAAGAGAAAATTCATTTCTAATAAAGTTACTTCAGGACTAAGAAAGACAAGTTAGTCTAAGGTAGGTGTATGCCTTTCCGACCAGTACCTTCCTTAGTTTTGAAAATTTATGTGCTTGATGAGAAAATGAAAAAGGAACTGTTTCATAAGTTTCTGTGACCCACATTGGAGGTATGTAAGAGCCTGAGCAATAAGTTATTCAGCATTAGACTGTCACTGATTATTATACAGAACACAGGAGCAGTTTTCTTTTATGTCTACTGACCTCTATTTCTGATGAGAATAGGAAAGGATATGTGGTTTTTGAATTGGAAATTGATAAAGGTAGACTTTTTTCCAGCTCAGGATATTTTCTACTAAAATGTGGTATCTTAGTTTTCTAAAGAAAAAGGTGATAGACATTATGTGAAGATTAAAAAAGATGAACAATGTGAAATACTCTTAACATTAGCCTTAAGTAAATACTAGTATCCTGTTTCAGCTTTTTAAACAAATTTGTTTGGCAAAATACCTGCACTGAAGATTCTTTTGTGGTTTCAAAATAAACTCTTAATTTTCTAAAGTTAATGTATTTTTTAAAACAATAGCACCATTTGCTGAAAAATATGAAAATTGTTTCACTATACATAAACATTTTTCTCACTGTTTATAAGTATTGTTCTCACTATTCTTCCTCATCAATCCATTTGCTTCATCCTGGAGGAAATGATCTCTTGTTCTTATCCACTCCTATTAATAATATAAAGGTCACTTTCTTTTTCTTTATCTCTTATTTTAATTTGTAAAATTCTGCTCAGAGGAGGCATATTTGAAAATGCATACATAATAGGCTCAGAAGACATATATTCTATTAAAACATATATTAACTTATTTGCAATAATTGGTACTTGTAGTTCATTAACTTCCTTTTTATTCTCTGTTTTTCCATGTGGCTTGGAGAAACTTTTTTATGCTTTCTCTATACTGGCATGTGCTGTTCATAAATGTGATTAACCTTTAGTTACCCAGGTCATTAGTGTACATTTGTGTGTGTGTATGGGCATATATATTTTTAACAAATGATCACTCACATCAGCCATATTTTTGTCCAGTATTATAGTAAAGACTGATGCTGTGTATGAAATGATGATTTTTATAGACAAATAATAACTTACCAGAGATGGAGAGATCTTTGGTAGTTCTAAGTGATAGAAATAAGGAAGCCTCTTTAGTTAGTCTTTTGTGTTATATTATGTACTTTGAAATCCATAATGCGTTAGATTGTGTTTAGTCATTTAAAGTAAAAGGATTCCGGGACCCTCTCTGGAGCCAATGGGTTAAAAACAGCACTGTGAATCTATCTGCAGCCACTGCAACACAAGTTCCATCCCTGGCCAGGGAGGTGACCCACATAGCATGGCAGATCTCTCCTGACCCATCCACTGCTCCTCTCAGTAGTGTATTTCTCCTCTAGAGAAGTTAAATGTCTTAAAGAAGTCAATCCAACTAGTAAGAAACAAACAGAGCAGCATACTAAGTCTGCTGCTGGTAATCTTAACTGCTAATTTATCTTGAATGTTACCAGAATTGTAACATAGAATTGAGTTAAGTAAAAGGAAAGTGAGTTTCCTTTTAATTTGATTAAGAATAATATAATTTACACTAATCTGGTATTTCATAACTTTAAGACATTTCTGTTAGAATGGTTTTTTTTATTGTCTGTATAGTTAGTTGGAATATATAGCATGTGCTTATAGCTTTATAGGGCAGAATTCCACAAATATCTCAAAGTATCTCAAAATCTATCAGTTCAGTTCTGATCTTCTCACTCTCAATATAAACTGTATGTAGTTTAATTCCTTCATGAGACGACAACTACTACTTTTATGGCTTCAAAGAGAAAACACTTTCTTCAAAGAGAAAACACTTGACATTCATGTTTATTCAGTATATAGTACCGATTGTAACCGTATCAATAAGGTGCTGTTTCTATGGACCTTATGCAAGAGACATAACAGTAATTTTATTTCACTCTTCCACTCCTTTCCATACCTCCCTCCACTTCTCTCTTTCTATCTCCTTTTTTCCCCTTAAAATGAAGTGCTGTATATGGCACTGAATTCTACTGTCAGAATTTGTTTAAAAAACTGCTTCTTTATTTTTCCTGCCCTTAGACAATTTTTAAGACAAGTCTCAAATCAGCATCACTGGTTATGAAAAACCCTTTGGAGGGAATTTTTTAAAAAAATTTTATAATAGTTTAATTTTATTTATTTTTTGTGCATTTTTCCATTTCAGTTGCAATCCCCTTGGGCTTCCCATCACCAAATCACCCATGTGACATCACCATAGTCCAGTACATTTCTGGAGGGAAAATTTTTAAGTTTCCCAAATGATTCTGATGAGTTGCCAGCTTTTATTATTTATTTAAATTAATGAAATACCATTGTTTTGTGTTTGTGTTAATATTTTGACAATTAAAATTTCTCTCCTAAGGTGTGGTAATTGTAGCTCTCCTGCCACCAAATGACCTATAATCCTTCTCCATATTACACTGTTCTCCCCAACCCATGTTTTGACACCACTTCCCCCTACCCCGTCTTGCATGTCAAGATATGGTCAATTTTCAAGGACTGACTTTAAGGTTTTTCTTTGTCTAATCCTTTGTTTGTTTTCCACATGTAAGTAACACCATCTGGTATTTATTTTTCTCCTTCTGACTTATTTCACTTAGCATAATCCCTTCCTGTTCCATTTTTGTTGCCAAAAATGTCATAAAATTATCTTTTTTGGCCTTCCCTGGTGACGCAGCGGGTTAAAGCACAGCACTGAGAAGCTAAAGTCACTTTCACATGAGTTCGATTCCCGCCTGCCCCAGAGGTGACCACATGGTATGTCAGACCTCTCCTGACCCGCCCGCTGCTCCCCTCAGCAGTGTACTTTGTTGATCTGCCTGTTCTGTACCCCACTCTGTCTCTGGTGAATCCTCTCACCCTCCGCATCTCTGGCCTGTACCCCAGTTCTGTATGCACAAATAAATAAATCTTTAAAAAAAATTATCTTTTTTGATTTCTGAATAGTATTCCACTGTGTATGTATACCACATTTTTTTTTAAAGATATATTTACATATTTATTTTGTAGAAGAACTGGTGTGTAAGCCAGAGATGTGGGGTGGGTGGGTGAGAGGAGTCACTAGAGACAGAATGGGGAGCAGAGCAAGTGAATCTATGAAATATACTGTTAAGGGGGGGGCAGCAGGCCAGACAGGAGAATATACCACATTGTCTTAATTTATTCACCTGTTTTTGAGCACTTAGACTTTTTTCATATCTTGGCTATTATAAATAGTGTTGAAATAATTCTCTTTCTTCACATAGATTCAAGTTTCTTATATAGTACTTTCCTTCTATCTTGAGCACTTTATATTTCCTGGAGGATAGATCTACTAGTAATAATTTCCCTTGATTTTTGTTTGAGAAAGTCTGTTATTCCTTCACTTTTTATAGGTAATTTTGTAAATTTTGTAAGTTGGCAAGATTCTTTCCTTCACAATTTAACTGTTTCACTATACTCTGTTTGTCAACATGACAACCTTATGATAGAGACACTGTTATTTCTTCATTATCAGACTAGGAAGCTAAAGCATAAAGAGATTTAATAACCTTCCCAAATTTCCACTGCGTTTTAATCCCCCCCCCACTTCTCCTAGTATTTTTCATTGATCTTAGAAACAAAAATGGAACATGTTAGGGAATTTGTGACTGCCATGAATTAGAATATTTTCTCACTGTCTGTCCTTGAGAATGGGGGTATTGACAAGATGGGGCTTCTGAAAATAAGTGACAGGATTGAAATAGGATCAAAGGAAGTGTGAGGGTGAAGAGTGAACCATGAAGAATTTGAATTTTTCATTTTTAATGATAGGTGGCTTGAGGCTCCTTATGACTAGTTCTAGTTCCTTTTGTATCTCCACAACTGAATTTTCTTGTAGCCTACTTTGAGAATTTAATGAAATGTAGCAAATTCCACAAGACAGGTTTAACTACATACATTGACCTTATTGGGTCCTTGGACTCAGTTCTATCAGTCAAATATGGAATCATCCCAGCAAGAAGTACTCTAGTATAGCCACTTGTTTGACCTCAGGTATTTTCTTTTTAGATTTTGAAGGCTGTCTTGTTAATCAATGCTATATCCAAGGAGATACCAGAGGGTGAAAAAATGGGAAACTTACTGACACTTTTTGGTACTTCCAGTTGAACTTCCTAGCTAGTCTTCCTGCTACTATTTACTTTTCGGTCTCCACATAGCCCACTCATACTGTCAAGATTTTATAGATATATGCAGGTGGGAGAGGCTCGATGTATTGTATCTCTGTCTTATCTGGAACTCAACTTCTTGATTAGATATGTGTAATTTTTCTGTCACATGAGTAATGTTTGGCAGGTAAATTTTACTTTTATTTTATTGTTAGTAACAGTATATGAAGTACATGTGGCAACAGGTGATGTTTGGAATGCTGGAACTGTAGCAAATATCTACATTTCTATCTGTGGGGAGAAGGGAGATACTGGATCCAGACAACTATTTAGATCCAAGAGCTCCTTCAACTTTTTAAGAGGGCAAGTAAGTAAGTAGAAAAATTCTGATTTTTTAAAATACTGATAAAAAATACATACAATTTACTATTTTTGTTGTTGTGTTGCATTTAAAAACCTTTCACTTTTATTTATTTATTTTAATTGAAGTAACATTTATTATAACGTTAGGTAAGTTAATAGATATGTGTCGCTAAGCATCGTCAGGTAGATATACTACATTAAGTTCTCTTTTAAAAGTCCAAATTTATTCTTCACTATAACATAATCCTTTTCAGCTAGGGGTTTGAGATAGTAGTCTAGTTTCATACTTTACATTTTCCCAATACCATTTATTAAAGTGTCTTTCTCCAGCTCTTGACTTTTTTGTTGTAACTTTGTATGTGTGGAATTATTTCTGGCTTCTCAGTTCTGTTACATTGATCTGTGTACCTGTTTTTATTCCAATACTGAAAAGTTTTATACTCTCAGTTTGACATATTATACTCTCAGTTTGCTGTATAGTTTGAAGTTTATTTTTGCTTTCATTTTTTCATGCTGTTTGAGTTGAGTCACCATAAACATCCCTACAGTTCACATCTTGGAATATTTTACCTATGCTTTGTTTCATGTATTTAATAGATTCTGGTCTTATGTACAAGTCTTTAAACCATTTTGAATTGGTTTTTTGCATATAGCATGAGAGCGTTGTCTAGTTTCATTTTACTTCATGTGACTGTTCTTTTTTTCCATCATCATTTGTGGAAGAGACTTCCTGCTTTCTATATTGGTTCCATTGGTCCTACAGTAATTGTCCATATAAAAGTGGGTTTTCTTCTGCACTTTCGGTTCTATTCCATTGATCTGTATGCCTGTTTTCTTCTAATAACATGCTGCTTGATTACTATGGCTTTATAATAGTTTTAAGTCTAGAAGTGTGACATCTCTACTCATTTTCTTTTTGTCAATATATTGGCTATTTGAGGTCTTTTTTGCTTTTATATTATTTTATTTATATTATTCAATAATGTTTATTCTATTTCTTTGGTAGGGATTTCATTGAATCTATAAATTTCTTTAGGTAAGATGGACATTTTAACAATGTTAACTTCTAATCCATGATATTGTTCCATTTTCTTGTGTTTTATATTTTTTTAACAGTGCCTATTAGTTCATTGAATTAAAGGCATTTCACTTTTTTTGTGAGATATATTCCTAGGTACCTAATACTTTTTGGTGTTTTTATAAATGATATGGTTTTCTTGATTTCCATTTATCTTAGTTCATTATTTGTATAAAGGAATGCAACCAGTTTTGTATGCTGATTTTATAGCCTACCACATTACTGTACTGTTTTATTGTTTCTAACAGTTTTTTATAGTGGAGTCTTTGGGGTTTTCTACGTATATTATGATATCATCTTCAAATAATGATAGTTTTTCTTCTCTTTCAATCTTGATTTCTTTTCTGTCTTTCTCTTGCATATCTGTTCTATCTAGGACTTCCAAAACCATATTGAAGAGAGTAAAGGTCATGTGTGATAACCACACAGCTATCATTGTATTCAATGTGGATAAGCTGAAAGACTTTCCTTAAAGATCAGGTACAAGCAAGAATATCCACTCTCACTACTAACCTCTCAGTTTCATTTATATTCAAAATACATAAGTCATTGGAGTATGAATGATCCCAAAATATCAGCAGCTAACCCTAAGCAGATTGGAATTTTTATATTCAGATGAATGCTAACATTTATTACATTGAAATTTATTATATTTTATTAATCTTATTTAAATAATACTGTTGTAGAGTGTTCCAAAATTTATGTTTTTATGATGAAAAATTAGAAGAGAGGAGAATGGGACATAGTTGAAAGTTTTTCGTTCTACATACTGATATTACTAAGTTTCCTTTAATTTGCATAGCTTTGTATATGAATGAAGTTTTTCTGTAGTGCATTTTTACTGTATCAGGATTTTTTTCTTTGTTAGAAATCAGACTCAAGGTCTATATATATATATAGACAGGAGATATATAGATATATAGATATATAGATATATATCTATATATCTAAGTATTCTTTTTGGTTTGGTACAGACTGACACCTTCTCTCTGGAAGCTGTGCACCTTGGAGATTTATGTCATCTTGTCATAGGCCATGATGGGCTTGGTCCAGGTAAGCATCTTTCATCGTAGATATTTAAGTCTCATTCCATTATATCATGTGAAAACTTGCACAAATTAGAAAATAATTGTGGAAGACTGGTAATAAACTAAGAATTGACTATAGTAAATTAAAATGTTACCAAATGTTCTTTAAATTTTAAGTATGTATTTTTTTCCTCCAAACTAGAATGGCTTATCCAAGGATGCTCTGTATATGATGCTCTGTATATAATGCTCTGTATACAATGCTATTTAGTGATACATAAATATGAAGGGGATTTTTGATTTATATGTTATGGCATATGGCAGCATCCCAACTTCTTATTTTTCTGTCAGTTGATAGTTAATTTTATAGCTTGAGTCATAATCTATAGCAAGAACCAAGTCACATATATTTATACAGGGAGTTAGATTAAACTTTACGCAGACTAGACAAATGCCCTAGTACAGTAGTGAAAGAAAATGTAGCTCAAGCTTATTCTTACATGTCAATTAATTCAATTTTATAAGTATTTTTTTGAATCAACTATGTATAAAGTATCAGGTTGTATCAGGTATTTTTGATAGTGAGTTCAAGGATGACAAAGATGGGATGCTTGCCATTGAGTCCACCAAGAATTACCATGAAGATTTTAAATCCTAAGTTTCTAATTTCATTTTGCTTCTGATACTAATTGAGTGTTAAAGTCTTGGTTTTTTGCTCCAAATTTTAATTTTAGCATTTTGTCCACAACAGTAATTTCAGTAACTAGTAACATTACTGTGACTTAGTTAAGATAATTCTAGATTCTACAACATAAGGCATATTTGAATATGCAGCTGGTCACTGGTCAAATTTTGATCTTGAGCAAATCACTTAACCTTTCTGAGCCTCAGTAACACCTTAGTTATTGTGAGGGTTTTATGAGATAGTTCATAAAGTAAGTATACATTTTAGAGTAAATGACCAACAGATGCTGATTTTAAAAAAATACTTAATTTTTCTTTATTGAAAGTGTATCATAATATTAAATTGCAGGTGTGAATCATTAAAAAATCTATGTAGCTACTACATTAAAGTTTATTATTTATTTTTTTAAAGATTTATTTATTCATACAGAACTGGGGTACAGGCCAGAGATGCGGAGGGTGAGAGGATTCACCAGAGACAGAGTGGGGAGCAGAACAGGCAGATCAATGAAGTGCACTGTTGAGTGGAGCAGTGGGTGGGTCAGGAGAGGTCTGCCACGCCATGTGGATCTCCTCCAGGGCAGGTGGGGATCGAACTCATGAGGAAGTGGCTTAAGCTTCTTAGTGTAGTGCTTTAACCCACTGCACCACCAGGGAGGGCCCTAAAGTTTATTTTTAAAAGTCCAATTTTGTTCCTTACCATGCACTTTAACACTTTAACCCCTTTAACAATACCTACTCTCCTTCCCCCTTCTCCTCTAATAAACACTGCTTGGTCATGTAATCTAAAAGTTCAGTTTTTTTAAAGATTTATGTTTATTTATTTATGCATAAAAGAACTGTGATGTAGGACAGAAGGATTCACCAGTGACAGAGGAGGGAGCAGAACAGCTCAGGGGAATAGCAGGCAAGACAGGAGAGGTCTTCTGTGCCATGTGACTAGCTCACTTACTGGGGATCAAACCCACACAGCGTGACTGACAGTAGCTTGATCGTGATGAGACATTAACCCCGTTGCCACCAGGGAGGCCCCTAAAAGTTCAATTTTTAATTTAGTTTATCTTTGTTTGATTTTGCTATATATCACATATGTGTAAAATCATTTGGCACTTATCTTTCTTTTTTTTGATTTATTTCACTAAGCATAATTCCTTCTAAGTTCAGTCTAGAACCTAGATAGGATTTCATCTTTTTTTTTTTTTTTTGTTATAGCAGAGTAGTATTCCATTTCGTATTTATTCCACATCTCTTTTTTATTTTCATTTCCATAATAAGAAGAGCTGATGGATGTATTTCATGTGCTTGAAGAATCCTTGTTTGTTCAGATCTCTGCCCATTTTTTAAATTGTTTTGTTATTATTGTCGAGTTTTATGAATTCTCTGTATAGGTAATATTATAACCCCTTGTTAGCCATATAATGTGCAAATGTTTTTTCTAAGTAGAATATCTTTTCATTTTAATGTTAGTTTCTCATATTGTGCAGAAACTTTAAAATTTAATGTTCCGTTTGAAATTTACCTTTTTCTGTATCAGTTGAATATGTTGATTTATAATATTCATATGGGTATTTTTATCTCTACACTTGTCTCTACATATATTTTAAGAGTGAAACTAAAATTGTTTTTTTTTAATATTCTTTCTTTTTTACTCTTTATTTTTTCAGTTAACAGATATTATTTCAAGAACACATTTGGGAGTCAGTAGTGATGGAAATGGCTAGGGTTAGGATTATATTACAGCTTGTGCTTGCCACTTATTAAAACAGAGGATTGTGGAGGTAACCAGAATTTACTCTTTTGCCTTACTCTGATACAACAGTTGAATTTATTTAGCAAACATTTATTGAATTTCTATTACATACTTTGCTTTAAATTGAAAAGTTGCTCCTCCCAATGCACACCTCTCTTTTATCACTGTTTATAACTGGATATGTAGTGTCAGTTCTGTTAAAAATATAACTGGACTTCAGTATCTCTCACATCCTTGATCATAGGTATTTAATCTCTAGTTGCTGGTGTTTGTAAGCAAATACTATTATTTATGTCCATTTTATAATTCAAGACATAAAACAATTGAGAGGATAGTTCCTGAAGTATTCTCAGAAACTTCACTCTTGCTACTATATTTTCTCTCACAAAATCTTAGAGTCTTCTTAAATAGTTATTTGGTTTTAATGGAAGAACATGGAAAGTTACTGAAAAACTGTAGTAAACCTATGTTACAGAGAAGTTTGGCAATAGGTTGAAAACTGGTTAAGTTATTGTTTCTTTTAAAAAGTAGTGATGAGAATCTCTGTGGTTAACTTTATTAATAATCAAGTGGTCTTATAATTTCCCTTAAATTACAATTCTTTCATAACGTCGGAGGGAGACTTCTTCAGATAAAAAGGACACCACTATTTGATTAAAATTGATACAGATTTTGAAATATGAGGCTTTTGCCGCAGAGGAAAATGAAGGCAGGAAAATATATTGAAGTGGTAATGCACAAAAACTAAGGTATAACTGAGGACATTGACTACAATATATGATTATAATTCCCTCATATTAAAAAATGTAAACTACAATGTATATGTACTGCATGTTTACCAAATTCTTTTTCTTTATGTGAGAATTAATACATAATATCTGAAATCATGTTTTATATTTTTTGCATATATATGATGATAGTTTTTTGCTTTTAACTTAATGATCACGTTCAGTTTAAGTAATGTAATATTTTTTGAGAGGTTGTTGAATAAGTGATTTAAATGTGTCTGAGAATTGGGCCCTCCCTGGTGGCGCAGTAGATTAAAGCACAGCACTAAGAAGCTAAAGCCACTTCTGCATGAGTTCGATTCCCACCTGCCCCGGAGGTGACCCACATGGTGTGTGGCAGACCTCTCCTGACCTGTCCGCTGCTCCCCTCAGCAGTGTATTTTGTCGATCTGCCTGTTCTGCTCCCCACTTTGTCTCTGGTGAAGCCGCTCGCCACCCCTGAGCCTCTGGCCTGTGCCCCAATTCTGTATGTACAGATAAATAAATATTTAAAAAAGAAAAAATGTGTCTGAGAATTATTTGGACAAATTAATACTTATTATAAAAATTTTCAGTAAGTGTGGAGACATCCATTTAATTAAAAAATTATTTATGCATATAAGAATGGGTACAGGGTAGAGGTCCAGGGGTTGAAAGGATTCACCAGAGATAGAGTGGGGAATAGAACAGCAGAATGACTGACATACACTGTTGAGGGGAGAAGTGGGTGAGACAGGAGAGGTCTGTAGTGCCATGTGGGTCACCTCATGCCAAGGCAGGCATGACACTCCTGCTGCAGTGTCTGTGGATAGCTTTACAGAGCTGCGCTTTAAGCCCTTGCACCAATATGGACAGGCCTTAAATTTTTAGAAAATATCAGAGGATGCTCAGTCTCACAGATTATATTAAAAAAAAATCTAGCCGTGGAAACTTAGACAATAAAAAGAAAAAAAAAATCCAAAATGTAAAGGAAGAACTACCAGAAAGAGGAAATGAGAACATGATGTCATTTACAGCTGCACCAAAGAGAATGAGATATCTAGAAATAAAGATGAGAGCTCTGTACACTGAAAACTATCAAACATTAGTGAAAGTAATGCAAGAAAACTGGACTCCCTGGGGGCTCAAGGGGCTAATGTCTCAGCATTATGAAGCTCTAGGCTGGCCAGGGATCTGACACACATGGCTCAGCAGATCTCTCCTGTCTTGCCTGTTGCTCCTCTCAGCAGTGTATTTCAGTAGATCTCCTCCCCTACTCCCCGCTCCTTCATCTCTGGCACACCATGTGGGTCAGCTCCAGGACAGGGGATCGACCTGTCACTGAAGCAGCTGTGCTAGCTTATAGTGCTGCAAGCTAACCCACTGCCCTACCAGGAAGGCCTTTTGTTGACCTTTTAAAGGATGATAAGGAAAATATATTTTAACTTTTGTCAGTTGAAAATGGTATCAAGTGAAATATAAATATTACTGCCTTCTGTATTAAATGTAACAGAAAAGGGGTCTGTCTTACTCGAACATGAAAGATGTGAAATAATGTACTAAAACATCATAATCACTTTGATCCCTATATCCACTCGAATCTGTATCTTTGTCTTTCTTATCCCAGTGCTAGACATTTTCATTTTTCAAATCCATTAGAAATCCCATATTCTATTTCTTGTAGACTTCATTTTAGCTAATGAAGAAGATATAGAAAATTTCTTATAATGGTTATGCTTTAGTAATTTATGCTGAATTCACTTTTATTTAAGTGTAATGTTTGAGTATAAGGAAAAAGAGGTCATAGATTACATATACTTTAATAAAATAGTCTAGTTTTTTTTAAGTAAAGCTAAGTTCCACAATAGTGTCAATTAAAATCAATTTATGTATAGGACACCTCATAATATTACTTTTTGTGAACACTTTACTATATAGATTGTATACCATTATTAGAAGATTGTATACAACTCGTCTATAATTCTCTAACATTAATGCTTATATCAGTGCTGAAACAATGAAATCTTGTTTGGAACAACATAGACAGAACTTGGGGGCATTATGGGTATGCTAAGTGAAATAAGTCAGAGACTAATAAATACTGTATGATCTCACTTAAGAAAGGAATCCAAAAGTAAAAGAACAAAATTACAGCAATATGGAAAACAGGGATAGTTGCCAGAGATGAGGTTTGCTATGGACAAATTAGGTTAAGGAGGTCAAAAACTACAAACTTTCAGTTATAAAATAAATAAATTGTGATATAATTTATATCTGGTGACTATAATTACTAATACTGCCCTGAATTTTTGAATGTTTTTAAAAGTGTATATATAAATATATTTGTTACATGAAAATAATATTCTATGTGTGTGGACATAGTAAGTGTAGTGGTAATAAGAGAATTTCAAAACTGATGAGAAATCAAGTCAATATTCAATATCTGGAAAATATGAGATGTAAAATATATTTTCCAGAGTGATAGAAATATATATATATATATACACATTATATATGTTATAATGTATAGATTATATATGTATAATTATATATATAATGCAATTGTACATATATACCTGTATGTAATAGTATCAACAGTAAAATGTATGTGCTCCTATCATTTACTGACCTTGCCTGCAAGTCATACTGACAAGTAATTGAAGATTCTAGCTAAGAAAGTTTGACTTTAGACTGTTTCTTTTTTAGATTTAAGTGAATCTATTTTTATTTCCCCCCCTAACCCCCAATCTATTTTGTTATTTAAAGATTTATTTGTGAATAACCTCAACTGGCTGTGTAACCCAGATCTTGCTGCTGGTTCTTCAGTGACAATTTTTGTTTGTTTAGTTTGTTACTTTCTTTGGTGAGAAAGATGAAAGTTTATACTTTTTTTTTTTTAAGATTTACTTATTTATGCATACAGAGCCTGGGTACAGGCCAGAGGTACAGGGGTTGTGAGAGGATTCACCAGAGGTAAAGTGGGAAGCAGAATAGGCAGATTGATGAAGTACACTGCTGAGGGAAGCAATAGGTGAAACGGGAGAGGTCTGCCATGCCATGTGAGTCACTTCCTTGGCTGAGGTTCAAACTCCTGCTGCATTGGCTGCAGACAGCTTCATAGTGTTGTGCTTTAACATGTTGGGCCATCTGGGAGGGCTCTGAACAGAATATAGTTTCTCAGGTCAGTATCCAGGAATGCAATTGTTGTGGTCATACAGTATTTAAACATAGTTTTTATAAGAAATTGCTATGCTTTTCCAAAGTGACAATATCATTTTATAGTCACACCAACAATGGATGCATAATCCATTTTTAAAGGTCATTCTGAAGGATATGCAATGATTTTTGATTATGATTTTGATTTACATTTCCATAAAGGTAATGTTGGCCATATTGCCATGTGCTTATTTGCCATTTTTTATCCTCTTTAGTGAAATGTTCTTTGCTTATTTTGTAATGGACTTTGCTATGTTAAAATAATTTCTTTGTATATTGTGTTTTTTGATATTTTTTGATATATGGCTTGCAATATTTTCTCTCAGTGTCTAGCTTGTTATCTTCTTAATGGGGCATTTGCAGATTTTTGCGTTTTGATGGTGTCCAGTTTAATAAATTTTCCTTGTATGGATTGCAGTTTGGGGGTTGAGTCTAAGACCTATTTGTGTAGCCCTAGATCATAATGGATATTTTTTCTGAAAGTTTTTGTGTTTTACCGTTTTGTGTGCAATACTGTGATTCAATATTCAGAGTCAGACTCTGGCTTTCAGAGACTGCTGCAGAAAGTAAAGTTGACAGGATGATTGTAGGGGGATGTGCTGAAGGACTAGGCCTGCAAGTGGCTTCTGTTACAATTATTCACAAACCATTGGCAAGAAATGAGTCATGTGGTCTTCTGTTTAATTTCACAGGGGAGGCTGAGAAATGTAAATATGATTGTGTGAGGAAAAAGAGGAAATGATGTAATAGGCACGTAGTCTTTCCATACACAACAGGACACCAACCTTTTATTCCACAGGGCCCAAATTTGATTACATATGTGAATACTCTATAAAGGTGTAGAAAAATATTTAAACTATATAGAACAAGCTAAATGATTTTTTGGCAAAGGTGCTAGAATAATACATGGTTTCAATATCATTTTTGTACATTTTCTTAAATCCACTCTAATACAAGATAAATATTAAGTGATGAATAATGTTTTTAATAATATAAACTATTTATTACATGTATTATATAAGAAAGTAGCATGCTTAAGTAGAAACTTACAAGCTTTTAAGCTCCATTTTTTTTTTCTGCTTAATCCCTCCAGGGTCAGCCTGTTTTCAGAATCTCATATATTCTAGTTCTAAATCCAGTTCTGAGTCTTTCTGCTTACATGAAAACGTGTAACAATTTAAATTATTTTTTATGTAAATATTTTAAAATTTATTGCTAATTAATTCTGCCAATATACAGTGTTTTTAAAATTAATATTCTGTCACCTTCAAGTGTATTCTTTATAGACTCTTCTATAGCTCTGAAAACTAATTTCAGAATTCTGGTAACAATTCATTTTTCCTCAAAGGAGAAAAGAAGATGAATACTTTATTTTTATAGCTGTTAAAAATAAAACAAAAGAAAAGCATTTTCAGGGATAACATTCCAGGCAGAAGGAACAGCATATATAAAGGTATTAGAATCACTTATGGCAGTGGTTTTCAAAGTGTGGTTCCTGGATCATTAGCTTTGCATGGGATCTTGTTAAAATTTCAGTTCTTGGAGTCTTTTTTTAGGTCAGTCATTCATTCTAATTTGCCTGGCACTGTACTGTTTTTCGCAGTGAAAGTCCTGCATCTTGGAAGCACCTCCATTAAGGCAAACTGGAACAGCCACCTCAGGTTCTCTATTCAGGATTACTGAGGCATTAAATTAGTGTGGTATTGTTATAATGTGTTGTTATAATCCCTTTTGGTGATTCTGATGAATGATCAATTTTGAGCCATGGATTTAGAGAACTATAAAAGATTTGGCATTGCTTAATGATGGGAATATGTGGTGAAGGGCTATGTTAAAGAACAAGCAGCAACCAGACCCTTGTTTGCTTTCTTAAAGAGTTTTATTCTATAATTAATAAACATTGAGTCACTGACACAATTATTTTTAATTAGGGGAGGATATATTTTGAGCTCATTTTTTTCTTACCTATTAAAAACACTACCACTAGTTAAAATATTCTATTTTATGTCTACATGAAACTAAATTGTATTTTAAGAAACTCTGGTTTACAAATTACTATAAAATAAAGAAATTTAAAGGGCCCACCCTGGTGGCGCAGCGGGTTAAAGCACAGCACTAAGGAGCTTAAGCCACTTCCGCATGAGTTCGATTCCTGCCTGCCCTGGAGGAGATCCACATGGTGTGGCAGACATCTCCTGACCCGCCAGCTGCTCCCCTCAGCAGTGTATTTTCGTTGATCTGTCTGTTCTGCTCCCTGCTCTGTCTCTGGTGAATCCTCTCACCCTCTGCATCTCTGGCTTGTACCCCAGTTCCGTATGAATAAATAAATAAATCTTAAAAAAAAAATAAAAGAAATTTAAAAAGTTACTGTTTTCATTTTCTACTAGCTCAGGCTGTATACATTGTACAGAGTTCAGAATGACTATTTTCCAACTTAATCAGCATATATAATTTGTATAGACTTAATCCAAATTTGAACTTTACTATTTTTCTATGTGCATATTTTACAAATAAAAAGTATCCCTAGGGGTCCTCCCTGGTGGTACAATGAGTTAGGATGCAACACTGAAAGCTAGCTACAGCAGCTTCAATACAAACTCAACCCCCAGACCCGGAGGTGACCCACATGACACAGCATACCTAGCCTGACCTGCCCGCTGAGCCCCTTAGCAGTGTACTTCGTCGATCTTCCTGTTCTGCTCCCCACTCTGTCTCTGGTGAAACCTTTTACCCTGCACCTCTGGCTTGTACCCCAGTTTTGTATGAATAAATAAGTCTTAAAAAAGAAAGTATCACTAGCTCATCAGAATTATTCTCATTTCAACTATTTGGAAAATCATATTGACTCTCAAACATGAAACTTTGAATATGCTGTGATTTTGTTTTTAAATGCTTCTTACAACTTCTCTCATATCTTGCTTTATAAATGAGTATAAGATATGTCGTGTATTTATAAGTTAAAACCTCCTTTTCAAAAACATGAAATAATAGTTGGATCATACATATTCATAGTAAATTTTTCTCCTTTGTGTTTAGGAAATGGCTGGTTTCTTGATGATGTTGTAGTTAAGGATCCTACAACAAACCATGAATATACCTTCTTATGCCACAGGTTTGTTTGCTTTTACATTGAACAAATAAATATAAGTTCTAAATCCATGCATTTTGGAAAACTTGATAACTTATTCAGTTTTTCACAATGATTAAATTTTTGTAAGCAGTAATTGTAACAGCTGTTTTTTATTTAGAGATAACATGTTTATCATTGTTGCTGATGATACAAATTTAAATGTTTTTGTAAATTGAGATTTAAAAAATTTTTATATTTATATACTAGTAAGGATAAATAAAAGTGTATGGTAAAAATTTTATTTTCACTGCCTGAAAAATGTTCAGAAATAAAAAATGGTGTATGTGTTTTTTTTTTTTTTTTCCTACCGTGATGTCATTGTTAGGCCTTGATTTGTAGGTTATTTGCCCAATAATGTTGATAGGTTAATTTTTTTTTCAATTTTCTTGCCTTTTTATCCCATGGAACCAATAGTAGCCACTTATGAAATCACTGACACTAGCTAGAACTGTAAAGTAACTGGAGCAATGGATATAAATTCTGTGATGTTGGAAGATTTGCTTATTAAGGAGCCTGTGGCTTATGGGACAACATATTTCATCCTTACCTGAAAGCAACTTTTCCTACCTCCCTTCTAGTATCATAATTTTATAATTCTCTTTTCCATTTTTCTATTCTGCTTTTAACAACTAAATATCTATGACTTTTTCTAGAAGCTGTTACCTAGTATTTCTAACTGATAACTGCTAGAATATTGACAATGCTCAGTGTAGATATTAGGTCAGAATATACTCAATGCACTTTCTTTTTCACAGATGGCTGGATCAAGGGGAAGATGATGGTAAAATTGTCAGAAAACTGTATGCTAGTAATAACAGCATCATCTCTGCAAGTGAGTGATGTGATTCACATTTCTTTGGAAATTATCTTTCATGATAATTGAGAAAAATTTGAAAGTGATAAAATTAATGATTCTCTATATTCTCAGGGGAAAAGCTGGAACTTAAAAGAAAAGAAACAGTAAGATTTTATTTTTGGCTTCAAATTATTTCATACAAACAATGTCCAAATAGCTTTGTGATGTGTTAAAACCAAATAGTATATAAATAAGGGGTATTTCTTAGTGGTTCTCCTCTTTATCTTTTCATATTGGTACTTTTTAAATTTGTTTTTCTTTATAGTGGGCTGCAGAAAGCTGGAAGTTTAGGAAAGGAAATACTCTTCAATTCTACAACAAGCTTACTGGAGGGTTTGTCCGTTTGCATCCAGATGGTTCAGTTGATGCAGTTGGAGAGAAGACAGATAAATATGGTAAGATCATGGGAGAAGGCATGTGGTATTCTGGCAGGTTTGGGAATTGGAAGAAGCTGACTTCTAGGCCCAGTTTAATTCACAGACAAGCTTCCTTTTTCAAATGACTTTATATCTTTATTAGGCCATTTGATTATTAGGCTTCAAACCTGGTCAGATAATACCACTATGCAGAATAATACACCATGGAAAACTTATTTGGTGTTCCTTATTTAAAGAATAAAATGTAGGCAGTTAACATTAACTGTTTATAAAAAGCAGTAGTTTTAGCTCTTGAATTACCATTTAAGGAATTATTCATTCTACTAAATATCAAGTGTCTATTCTGTTCAAAATGCTGTTAAATGATTTGAGGAGTGCAAAATAGTTAAGACATTATCCTGAGTTCCAGAGACTCATAATGTAATGAAGTAGACTAATATTTATAAGTGTTCTAATAATAGTTTGTTTTTATAGCTAATATTATTGTAAAAGTACAAAAGAAAAACTAGACAAAGAAAAACTAGATTTGATATCACAAAATCATGATCATAAGAATTAATGAAGAAGTAAACTATAATGGTAGCTCTTTGATTATAACCCAAACCTCCTTTTTTCATGAAATAGACTTTTTTATTATTCAAACAAAATTCTCCCTGTTGCATGTTAATGTAATTTAAAAAAAGAGTGCTTTTTAAATAGCTGTAAAGATGTGCTAGAGATACTAACTTACCAATAGCAATTCTTCAGAATGTAAACTTCACTTCATATTAGAGATCCAAGGTAATAATTCAATTTTCTCTTCTGAAAACATGTGGGTGTCTAGGAATATTTCACAGTAGCTTTTCATCAGGATTAATTTGTTCCTTAGGTACTTTCTTTACCTGTTAGTTCCCACCTGGGATCACTTACTTATTTAGATCATTTTTACAATGGCCCATCATATCCTATTCTTTGGGGTCTGTGTTGCCAATATTCATGCTCACTTGCCTTATTGAATATAATAGATTGTATCTCCAAATGTGGTCATAAAAATATCTCCTGTTGTTAAATCAAAAACTGCAAAGAATCTGTGTTTCCCTTCTTGTAGAAAACATAAGATCACTGAGTCAAAGACTAAGACCTTTTTTTCTCTATAGGCAAATGCAGCAGCCAGAACCACATCTTAGGTCAGCTCCCCAAGCCTCACTCATCCCAGTATCATGAGGTGAAAACCTGCATAGGCATTTGGGTGAATTAAAGGAGGGACATATACAAATCAGAAACATCAATTTTATGTATATAGGGCTTCCCCTTTTCAAGGGCTTTGGGGTGAGAGCATGAAAGAGGGAGCAAGGGACTGAAGGAGAAAGGGAGACAGAGAGAGACAGGAAAAGAAAGGGGGGGGGAGAGAGAAAAAAGAGAGGGGAGATGAAATATAATGAATGAGGAAGTATCTGAGTTTTACATAGCAAAATTTACCTAGTACATAGGGAGAATTGTCTTCAGACACCTATTCCACAAGTTAGCTTATAAAAGACCTTGCCACTTCCATATCAGGGTACAGTTAATATTCTCAACTCTTATTAGGTCAGATTGTTCTGTGTTTTGACATTGAATGCAGATGAAACAGCATTCTACCTTTTAAGATCTGTATCTTCATTCTTTACTTCTTTTATTAATCTTTCTTGGAAACCAGCTCTGTGTTACAAGTAAGCCCAGACCTCATTTAGAGAGGCCGGGAAGGAAAGAACTGGTGCCAGATCAGCCAAGTTTTTTAGCCTAGCTTTAACCCAGCAAGTTTTCAATTCCACCAGCATGAATTGCCAAGTATACAAGCCCCTGTGCAAGCCAAACTAACAAATAGATGATGAAATTATGGAAACATTTTACCCAAAGTGTTTCTAGTATATTAATATGCTAGTCTTGTAGCATAGAGTGAGCAGACCTAAAAAGGACAGGTGCAGGAATATGAGTAAAAATGACAGCTTCATACCATAAGGTCTTTTATGTGTGACAGTACTTGCAGCATTACTTTCTGATGTTATGCTCAGTGTTCCATAAATTCGCACTCATAAATAAGTTTTCCCATGTCTGGAAAGTGTTGTGATGAACGTTGGACATCTTTCCTCATGGACATCTTTTCAGGAAAATATTTTAAAAAAATGTTGCTGAAACATTTTGATTTAAACTTTTCATTCCGCAAAATGGCGTCTCTCTCTCTCTCTCTTTCTTTCTTTCTTTCTTTTTTTTTAATCACAATGGACCAGTCCTATTTAATTATCAAGCAGGTTGTGAATGTAGCTGTTTCCACACTCAGAGACTTAAAAAAGCTCATTCCTCTCAGAATTACTGAACCATTTCTTGGCAATACTGGTTCTAAAAACAGATGCAGAGCATAAAAAGATCTTTGAAATGCCACAGGGAGCTTCATTTTATGGTCATAAGCTTTAGGTGTTAAAAGCAATTCTGTACCAACACTGACAATGACAATTACAAACATCTTCCTGTCTCTGTTGAGATATCACAGAATTATAAGGATCAGACAGCCAAAATACTTCAGTGTTTTACACTAAAATCCTAATGACTACTTTAGATTGGATCAGCTTTAGAAATTTCCCTGATCTCCTGAGATTTTCTATAAAATATAGATTCCTGTAGTTTCCTCATTTTACAGTAGGTTTTCTCCTCTCAGTCCCTTACTCCCTCTTTCACTCTCTCACCCCAAAGCCCTTGAAAATACAGTGAGATGGTACATGACAGAACAGGCCTCCTGCCCCTCACCTTCTCAAGGGTGTCTGGGTTGAGTTGTGGAGATCCTCAGAGTGCTTAGACTTTGGATGAGTTGGGGAAGGACTCTGGCAACTGAGGGTACCTCTCCCCCCCCTTTTTTAATATATACATATACAAAAGGGAAAGTTTATTATATAAAAGAGGAATGGAAAGTAGAGGATGCTTACACCACAACAATAGGTAGAGATGCTTTGGGAAAGAACAGCCTACATAATCACAGGCAGACAGGAGAGTTGTTGCTGCTGCCTTGCAAAAGGAAAAGGCTCAGGAAGAGAATTGCCTGCATAGTCACAGGTGGGCAGGAGAGCTGCAATTTTGAAAGGGGTAGATTTAAGAAAGAGCTTCTTGCACAAACACAGGTTGGGAAAAGAAGTCCCTCTCTTCCTGTAAGCTTTTACTGGGGTGGTGATAGAGTGTGTTCTTACTCCTTGGAGGCCATGTTGACCACGTGGCCATCATCTTGTTGCTGTAGCCAGTTTCATTGTCATCCTAGAAATGAGTTTGACAAAGTATTCATTGAGGCAGTGCCAGTCCTAGCATTGAAGGTAGAAGAATGGTGTCACTGTTAACATTGCATTAGACAGTCTGGTTTTCAGTGTGCCCCAGGATGCTCTTGAGGGTCTCTGTGATATCTGCTTCACCACCTTCTTGATGTCATCGTATTTGGCAACCTTATTCAAGCACCAAGTCAGATCCACAAACCATATATTAAAATAGAGACACAGGTAATGATGCTAGTCATTACCCATTCAGTTTAGGGATGACCTTGCCCACAACCTTGGCTATGAAAAATGGGGCTAATGTTCTGGGAAGATCCTCAGCCATTATGCCACATAGAGGGGCTATTCATAGTCTTATGGGTGGCAGCGATGGCTTGGAGCATGGTCATGAGTCCTTCCATGATGGCAAAGTAATCATGGATAATCTTGGCTGGTGGGGTGTGGCAGGTGAACCTATTGGTCATATAGGAGGCATTTCTGACATCTTAAGAGAGTTGTACTTCTCATGATTCAAGCCCATTAGAAATATAGGGCATCAGCAGAAGGGGCAAAAATGATGACCCTTTTGGCCCTACCTTTCAAGTGAGCCCTGGCCTCCTCTAAGGTAGTGAAGATACCATTGGACTCCTCAACATATTCAGTAACAGTACCATCCCATTTTGTGTTGGCAGTATCTTCCTTTTGGAGGATGGGGATGGTCTTTTGTGATGACAAGTTTCCTTTGGGTTTTTCCCAGTTCTAGAAGACACAGAGCCTCAGAAATCTGGCATTGTTATTCTGAATAGGAAACATAAAATTGGCTTGGAGGGTAAAACACTATATTGGGAAGCTTTGGTCTTTCACAGAAAATGGAACCAGAAGAAATTATCAATATCAGGACCTGGGTAGCCAAGTGATGCCAAGACTTCCAAGCATAAGGTGCATGGGTCTATGGGCACTCTTAACTTCCGAGCAAAAATTTGAATGTATGTGTGTTTTCCTAGGGAAAGGAATCTTCCTAGTTTTAGATTTAAGAATAGGTTAAAATGCTGCAATAGGGAAAAAGACTAAAATCAGTTAAAGGCTAGACTAAGAAAAACAGAAAATATGCTTAGAAATACTCAAGTTTGAGAATTCTCAAAGCCATCACTGCAAACTTATAAAGAGCAGAGGCAACCCAGTACTGGTTTTATGCTCGTCTAATTATATTTCAAATTCTTTTCAAAACAAGGCCCTGAGAACTCCCAGGATCAAGTCTGCCCTGGGCTTGCTCAACTGCCTTCATGTACACATGCTTGAATATTCATTCCTTAAATTAAACCTCAGCATTTTTTGCTCATTTCAGAGGAAATAGCAGGGACCTAAGTGAAGAAAATGCAGGAACTTTTCTTTGGAACTGAAATGTGATGGGCAGTGCCTTTATGAATATCACCATCTTTTCCCTGACCTTTCCCTTCTAGTTTCTGAAGCTATATTAGAAAATAATCTTTGAAGATGTGTACAAAAATTCCACCACCCACTCTCACCTAAAAATCCCCACATTTTTTCCCAATGCATTGTGCTTTCAAACATTCTGGGTTTAGCTAAACTGATAAATATGGTAAACTGATTGATATGTTCCACCTTGATAGCCAGCTGGCCCGATCCCTTTCTGGAAGCTTGCTCTCATCTTGGTAGTGTCACAGTCACTGAGAGCTGCAAACAGTGCAAGAATCTTGAAATTACCTGGAAAGGCAATTCCAAGAACTAGTTCTTCTAAGCAAATGTCACCAAGTTTCCCAAGGTCATTTCTTAATCACTGTGCTTTTACAGAGGGATAATTCATTCTTGATGTAGTCTTGTCCCTGTTTCAAGATGAGTTCCTTCAGATTTGGAAATTCCTGATGAGTTACCAGACAGGCTTCAGACATGGAAAGTCCCCAAGACACATAAGGTTTCAAAGAATGAAGCGTTTATATGGCTTTAAGGACCACTTTAACAGAAATACCACTGAAAATCTTTCAGGCTAGGGCTTGAAGTAATCCTCTGCCCCAGTAAACTCACCCCATTAATTCTTTGGATGAATATAGCAAAGGCCAATAAATATTTCCCTGGCACTGCCAGGCCATGAGGATTCACTATAGTTGTCTGAGGTGCAGTTGGTCGTTCTGTTGCCTCCATGACTTGTTTATCAACCATTCTAGTTGGTTAAGCCTGAACTGTTTTCCTTTCCTCTGCTCCTTTTCCAAAAAGTGTCTGCTTTGCTTGGGTGATTTTTTGGGAGCTGATAAATCTTCCTCTTTTTGAGGAACTTTTCTGGACCCAAAGGGATTTTTTTCTTTGCTCTCACACTATCATTTTTTTCCTCAATGCAGTTGCACATACATGACCAAAGCAGGGAGGAGGAGAACCACTCTGTTACCAAAGGGAAGTCTGTTGTAACTCAGAGCTAGACAGCTAGGACACCCGTGCCCACTCAGCAGCCTTGAAATGCTGAGGTCTTGCCAAAGATTGCACAACCTCTTTTGCACAGCTCCCAAGCTTGTTTGTCTAATTGCTTGAAAATCACCTATTTGTAATAGAAAAATGTTATTCATTATTGTTATGTATATTCCTGAAAACCTGCTAGTAGTTACTACTAAAGGAAGGATTATTGGTAATGTAGAGTTCTCGTCTGAGATCTAAAGTCTTGCATTCTATTTCTATTCTATGACTAAGCAGGAATCTTGGCAAAATCTCTGTCAGTTTTCTCATTTGCAAAATGGGGCTAATTATGTGTGTTTGTATAGCATCTTGGATCATAAACTATGGGGATCTAATGAGCCAACTTATCTGAAGAATATTTCTTAAGTGTATTTTATGTTTTGGCTGATTAAAAACACTTAACTGAAAGGTATTATAAAATATATTCTTAGGAGTTTTCAGGTTATAATTGAATTAGGAAAAAAAAAAGCAGCTTCAAAAACATCAATTACTTGTTAATACTTAGACTGTTTTCCAGGTCTCTTTGATGTTATTTTCAAAGACGGAAATATATGCATTTTCCAAAGTCATGAAATGAGGCATCTTTCTCTTGCTTTTGACAGTGGCACTGTTACTGGAATGGTATGTAGTAATTTTCTCTTTGACTTATATCAGTTTTGTTGTCTACATGTAATATATTTTGCCTGAGATATGCTATATGATTATTAAGTTGTGTTTCTTTTGGCTTTTACTTTTTCATTATTCTGTTGTGTCACAATTTTTTGAGATTCTGATGCATAAATATCAATAATTAGAATTTATACAGACAATAGTATATTATTTCTATAAAATCACTCAAAATTCTAATGAATTTCTAGTAGTCTGACTTTTTTAAATTAAAAATATATTTATTTTCAGATCATTCTTCATTTTCATACATTGTATATACTGTATCCAACTCATTTTGGTCCCCAAGGTGTTCTCATTACCAATTCACCCCATGCACCATCACCATAGTCCCTTGTGCTCTCCTCTCCTGTTTTAAACCATTTCCCCCCCATCCCCAAAGAAATGCGGCCTGTTGAATTTGATTTTTACTTTGTTATAATTACGATTTTGCCCTGATCCCTTATTTGGGTCCACTACAACTTCTTAAAGGCCCATTAAGAGTATGTAATTTGAAAAAAAAAAAAAAACAACACACACAACAAGTTTACCTAATTGTTTTTTTTTTAAAGATTTTTATTTTATTTGTGCATACAGAACTGGGATACAGGCCAGAGATGTGGAGGGTGAGAGGATTCACCAGAGACAGAGTGGGGAGCAGAACAGGCAGATCAATGAAATGCGCTGCTGAGGGGAGCAGCGGGCGGGTCAGGAGAGGTCTGCCACACCATGTGGTCACCTCCGGGGCAGGTGGGAATCGAACTCATGAGGAAGCAGCTTTAGATTCTCAGTGCTGTGATTTAATCCGCTGTGCCACCAGGGAGGGCCCCTAATTGTTTTTATATTCCCTTGTCTAGGTTTAAAATCTCTAGGTTGGTGAGAATTTCCATCTTAGTTATTATTGTTATTTTAAGATTTATTTATTTGTGCATACAGAACTGGGGTACAGGCCAGAGGCTCAGCGGCAGCGAGAGGCTTCACCAGAGACAGAGTGGGGAGCATAACAGGCAGATCGATGAAGTACCTGCTGAGGGGAGCAGCGGGCAGGTCAGGAGAGGTCTGCCACGCCATGTGGTCACCTCTGGGGCAGGCGGGAATCGAGGTCATGTGGAAGTGGCTTTAGCTTCTTAGTGCTGTGCTTTAACGCGCTGCGCCACCAGGGTGGGCCTATCTTAGTTATTATTAAACTCAGCTTGTTATACCCAAGATTTTACCTGTTATGAGGTTCTCAGATTGTTGATAACAGCACTTTTAATTCAGTCCACAATGGTCACTGCTGATGTACTCATCAGATATCACGTGGTCTCTTGAAGGCATATAGCTCAGTTACTTTCTTTCCAGGGTAGACAAGTGAATTTTATTGAGGTTCTCTGGTAGCTTTCATCATGGCTCAAGTCATTCCTTTTTATTCAAATGCCTTACTTGGGTGCTGGGGAGAGGGGGTGCCTAAAACAGTACTCTGAACCAGGACTGCCTGTTGGATAAATTCCTTCATTTGTTTAATATTTTGAAAAGCAAAACCTTGTAGTATACAATTGTTGATTTCCACTTTAGTCTCAAATAGTTTTGAACTGGGAAGACACAAATGACGAAGTGAAAAATTAGAAATAATAAAATGCATATTAATATCTCATTGAATTATTTTGGCATTTGAATTATTTTCCTCCACATTCCACCATAGGTTCAAGAAAAGAAGAAAATCTTTGGAGCCAGATACTGGAAATCAGGCTAGGGAATCAACAATATCAATTATGAAAACTTGAGGTTATATAGATAGTACAAGGGAATAAATAGACCTATATGTACATAAAATGTAAAAATTGTCTAATTTGATTGTTTACATGGGTAGTTTAGAGATTTTTTTCCTTTTCTTTTTTAGGTGAGTGGTAGTGCTTCCACTGAGCTGCGGGTGCTTTTGCAGCCCAATCGCTGTGCACTTCTTGAGTCAGCACTGGTTCCTGGCCACACAGTTATTTTTGATCGTTATGGCAAAATAGCTAATGAATCAGCAGATTATGCAGACCTTTCAAAAGAATTTGTGGTTTTTGTCAAGGTAAAATGGAAGAGTCATTTACGTTTATATTGCTAAATGCCTGCTTTCTTCTGCTCTCTTAAGTCTTAAATGGAATCATCATGGAGTAATGAGATCTCTTCCCACTAGGTGGCAGGAGTGTCTATTGCTACTATATATGCCCAGATTTTGAAAGGTAATAGGGATCATAGGATTAATAGCAATGAAACTGATGGGATCCTATGTCCAAATGAAGTTATAGATTAAAACTATGAATGGGGGAATCTTATAAAAAAATTCAGGAATCTTATATTTGGGATTCAAATGTGTCTCTGTGTATAATAGATAATGTGTATTTAACTTTTCTAAGAGTTAGAATATTTATACCCTTTGAGTGTTACATATATTTGATTATGTCATAAAGCTTATGTATCTTTATAGTATGTATTTTTGAATTTATTCTAAAAATAATATTATTTTCCTGTTAACAATGTAGATGTCATTTTATGAGTTTGCCTGTTTTCTGCTAAGCACTTTGCCAAGAGCTTCACCATATACAAGACTAAATTTAGTCATTTTAAACTCACTGACAGATATTGTTACCTGTATCTTAAGCATGAAGTAAATATTTTCAGGGAAAAATCTTGACTAGCAGTGCTAGTAAACGATAGATCATGATTCAAATCAAAGTCATTGATTTTTCAAAAAATTTTACGATTATGATAAACTTCAACTGATTATTTTCCCCAAGCATTATTTTTAACAGTTGCATAATATTCAAGTATAAATATATATATTTACTTGTGGACTTTTTAAATCTTTAACATTTGATGAGGCTAGCTTTACTGTAATACCAAAATCAGACAAGGACATTACAAAAAAGAAGAAACTACAGATGAAGGTGCTTCAAGTCTGTATGTTCATATATTGTACAGTATGGGCATACCCCCTCACAGACATTCATCTTAATCTCTTCTTTTGTAAAATATCCTTTGATATATGTCTTTAAGCACATACCTTATTTTTTTCTTAGCTTAGATAATTCAAAATTGAATTTTAGGGTTAAAATAGGAAAGCTTTAACACTCTGGGAATGTTGTACAAATTTCTTTCTAGAAATGTATTAATTTTTAATCCTATGAAAGTTAAGCCAACCATGAAGTTAGGGAATAGATCATAAAACCACCCTTACTTCTAACAAGAATTTGAGGTTCCCTGAGACCACTAGCCACTAACAAGGTTTAATAAATCACTAGACTGACTCATATCTCACTGAATATTGTTATACTTGTGTTTGCTGTTTATTACTAATGTTTACAGAAAGGATGCAACTCATGTGGATTGAGGGGCATACAAAATTATATATTTAATGCCTTGTTAAATCTGTGTCTATCTATTGTTGTTTGAAATAATTAAAATCAGCTATGAGAAGATATACTTAGGGCAGTCTAGGAAAAATACTAATTGTGGGACATTTTGTGTTTTCCCATGAAGTCAACACAGCTTTGTGTTTTCAGCACAGATATGTGACTTTATATGTGGAGTATTTCTAATCACCTGGACCTGTGTGCCCAGAGTAGTTGTTGGGGTTTCATCATGTAGGGAGGCTGATCTAAGTTTCTAACCTCACCAAGGGTCAGCTGAAATATTATTTCCACCTAATTCACATTTTTACTCTGGCTGGTCCAGGACCCTTAGGGAAACAAATACATTCCAATCTGGCACGATATTTTAAGGATTTAAAAATTACCTCTCATAAGTCAAGGGCAAAGTTCAGAAATCTCTGGACAAAGTTAAAATTCATTGCTAGCTGATTCTCTTTGATGGTATAGGACTTCAGTGTTGAGTATGGTCCTTCAAAGCAAACACACACAAGAAAACCCCAAACTTTATTTCCTAAGGAAATAAACATCTAATGTTAGCTTAATTTTTTTTCTTTTCTTTTTTTTTACTAATGTGGATTACATTTTCTTATGTTTATTTACTTTGTTTTGTCTTTTGTGAATATCTTTTTAAAACTTTCTGCATGTTAATTTATACTCATTAATTTTTAGAAATTTTTGTGACTTCTTATTGATTACATAAAATTTCCTCAAATATACCTTTGTTGTATTTGACATCTCTTTTCACTTATTCTTTCATTCCTACATACATAAAACTATTATTCATAGGACATACTCCTTAATTCTAATACTCTTATATTATACTATTTTTATTCTGGTTTGTATTATAATTAAAATTATTTGTTTTTGGTGATTGCACATTCTATAAGTTTTTTGTATCTTTTTAAAAATCTCAGTAGTATCTGCTGCTGACCCTTGCATTCTTTTTTTATTTTTTTAAAGATTTATTTATTTATGCATACAGAACTGGGGTAGAGGCCAGAGGTGCAGGGGTGGCAAGAGGATTCACCAGAGACAGTGGGGAGCAGAACAAGCTGACTTACGAAGTACACTGCTGAGGGGAGCAGTGGGCAGGGCAGAAGTCTGCCATGCCATGTGAATCACCTCTGGGGCGGAGCTCGAACTCATGTTGAAGTGGCTTTAGCTTTTTAGTACTGTGCTTTAACCTGCTGCACCACCAGGGAGGGCCCTGACCTTTGCATTCTTTATTTATTTATTTTAAAATATTTATTAATTTAAACATATCAGAGTGGGTGTATAGGCTAGAGTTGCAGTTGCTGTGAGAGGATTCACCAGAGACAGAGCGGGAAGCAGAACAGGCAGATCGATGAAGTACACTGCTGAGGGGAGCAGCGGGCAGGTCAGGAGAGGTCTGCCACGCCATGTGGGCACCTCCGGGGCAGGCGGGGATCGAACTCATGCGGAAGTGGCTTTAGTTTCTCAGTGCAGTGCTTTAACCCGCTGCGCCACCAGGGAGGGCCAACCTTTGCATTCTTAATAGAACATAATTTATATAAACTACAGTGAGTCAACGTGACAGCTACCTTTTTTTAACTTTCATAGCAGTTAAATTGTTCACTTCCTTCTTTGGCTTTAGTTTTTAACCATCAAATTTCTGAAAAGACTCTAATCACTGCAAGGTATATAAGATAATAAAATCTAATATAATGTTTCTCTAAAAAACTTGAGACTGCTATTTACTGCTTCTTTTGTTCTGTTTGTTGCTTTAAAGGGTGTGTTCCTCAACAGTGCTATTCTTCTACTTGCTACGAGCCTATGCCAGGCCTTGTGTCTCCAGCCTGATGGGAGCTGCACTGGAGTGGGAAACCAATCTGAAAAATCCTACTGGAAAGTGCATAAAATCAGTTCTGGCATTTGCATGTTTGAAAGTGTGAAAAATGCACAGATGTATCTGAGGATTAAGGATGGCCAGTGTGATGGAACAGTAAGCATCTGCTTATATTTTTCTCAGCAAATGTTTAAGACATTTATCAAAATTAATAGAAGAATGGCTCTTTATGAATGTTACATTATTTTTAACCTATGAACATTCTGGAAATTTTATATAAGGTGGTATCCTTGGTGTTTTTAGTAAATGTAGACTGCATACATGATATAATTAGAGGTGGATCCAGATCCTGTAGTCACTGCTTCTAAAATTTTATATACATACAAATAACCTGAAAATTATGTAGATAGTTTTATGAATAGATTCTGAATACTTGTATATGGTGAGACCTGAACCTATATTTCTAATTAGCTTCCAACTATTGCTGATAATGTTGTTGTGAAGGCACATTACCAAAAGCAAGACTCCAGAATACCTTAGCTATTAAACAACACTGCTTTACTGCCTTTTTTGGCATCCGAATTTCTGCCAGTGGAAATCAGGAACTTTGATTAAGGAAGTGACTTTAAATTCTGATAATTAGAGTTTCTCTTTAATATCATGAGACTTAGGGGGGGTGTGGAATATATCTAGTAGAACATCTTTTTTATATATAATTCTCCTGTGGGTTGAGGGGCATATAAAAATTACACATTTAATGTTCTTGTTAATATTGTGTCCATTTATTGTTGTTTGAAATAGTTTAAGTTGTATTTTTGGGATGAACTCAAAGGTGATCTCCCTCTCTCCTTTTTCCTTACCAGTATGGCCCCTGATCATATTGGAGAATTTGTAGTAGCTTCTAGGGATTGGGAGAGGGAAGACTTAAACCATTCACGATTCTCTAAGTCTCTATCATTGCTGGATACTGGTGAGCTTGAATCTTGTGAGCTATATTGATGTTAATAGTGCAAAAGAAAAGCAACGCACCTATAAATTAGCATCCTTGATCAACTCACAGTAGCGTGTGGGGTGGATAATATCACAGAGGAGAAGTTTCATGGGCAGCTGATGGTGTGTTGTGTGTGTGTGGGGTGTGTGTGTGTGTGTGTGTGTGTGTGAAAGAACTCACCAGAGAAAGGGTGAAGGGCAATAAAGCCAATTTATTTAATACAACATTAACAAAAGTAGCAGGCAAAAAGAAGTTCATTTGTGCAGAATAAACTACATTTTTTCTTTCTGATTTATTTCACTGATATAGCCATCTATACTGTTGAGAATGGCATGAGTTTATATTGATTGCTGAGTAGTTTATATTGATTGCTTGGTCCATTGTGTATATATACCACATCTTCTCAACAAGTCATTTCATATGGGTATTTAGATTGGTTCCATATCTTAGCTATTGTAAATAGTGCTGCAGTAAACAAAGGTGTGAAGGTTTCCTTTTCTATTAATGTTTTTGTGTTCTTCGGGTAGATAGTTCTAGGAGTGGAGTTTCTGGATCATATGGTAGATACTTTTTTTTTTTAGCAATTTGAGGGTCCTCTACACGCTTTTCCATAGCGATTGGACCAATTTGCAGTCTCACTACAGTTTTAAGAGGTTCCTTTTTCTCCACATCCTGACCAGTATTTGTTGTTTCCAGTTATTTTTAATATGGGCCATTCTCACCAGTGTGAGATGGTATCTCATTGTGGTTTTGATTTGCATTTCCTGATTATAAGTGATTTTTTTTTTTTTTCCCATATACCTGTTGGGCATTGCATTTCCTCTTTGGAGAGGTATCTTTTTAGTTCTTATGCCCATTTTCTTCTGTAATTCCAAAATAATATGTAAATTATTTTATTTTTTATTTATAAATGTATTTTTTACATTGTTGTTCATTTTCGTACAATGTTTGAGTTATCCTCTCAGATGTAACTCAAATTCCCACCACCAAGTCACTGGTGAACCATCACTATAGTCTGTTGTGCTCTTTCCTCCCCTGTTCTGATCTTTCTCCTCCCCCTCTCCTGCTGAAGGTCTCTGATTTATCTATTGCCTGCTAGTTTTGTTTCTGATTCCATGTTTGTTTCCCCTATATTCTTCCTATAAGTGAGAACTGCATTCCTATATTTATTGCAGTACTATTTATAATAGTTAAGTGGAGGGTAAATGGAAGCTATCAGGTTTTTCTGCCTTCCTGCCATTAGCATCAATGATCGACACTGTGGTCTTACATGCATGCCTGATGGCTGACATCTGGAGTATGGTGTGGGTATGTGTAAGTGGGCACACCTGAATCAAGATACTGAGCATATAAGGGCAGTAGCAGAGAACAGAGGCTAGAAGAGAACAGAGGGCCGTGCAGTGGAGTACAGTGGAGCATATCAGAGAACAGGTAAGAGAGCAAAGAAGGAATAGGGATTTATATGGGGGGTAGGAGGGAACAGTAACTTGTTACTGTCTCCCTGCTGGCTTGCCTACCCAACCAGTGAGAATGATGCCAAGGGCTCCAGCATTCTCTTTCAAGCTGCCTGAAATGATGATGATCCTACCCAGCATGGGATGGTTGCAGAGCACTAAGATATGGAAACAACTTAAATGCCCTAAAACAGATAACTGGATATAAAGGATGTGGCATATATACACAATGGAATATTATTCAGCAGTCAAAAAAGATAAACTCATGCCATTTGCAGCAACATGGATGGAGCTGGAAGGGAAATGTCAGAAGAAAAAAGAAATATCTTCAGCCCATTTTTCAACTGAATTGTTTCTTTGTTTTTATTTATTTATTTTTTTGAGTTGTGTTCTTTGCAGATCTTTGATATATGTCCCTTACCAGTTGTAGGAACTGTAAATATTTTCTCCCAGTCTGTAGGCTATCTCTTCATTTTGGTTATTGTATCTTTTACTGTACAGAAGCTTTTTAGTTTGATGTAGTCCCAGTTGTTTATCTTATCCTTTATTTTCTTTGCTTCTGAAGATGAGTCATCAAAGATATTTCTGAGATGTTTGTCATGGAGTTTTTTGCATGTCATGGAGTGTGGTACATATGTTTTCTTCTATATATTTTATGGTCTCAGGTTTTACATTCACAACTTTTATCCATTTTGAGTTGTTTCTGGTATGTGGTGTGATGTGATGTAGTAGTATAGCTTAATTATTTTGCATGTAGCAGTCCAGTTTTCCCAGTACTATTTATTAAACAGATTATCCTATTCCAATGCATATTCTCTTTTTCTTTTTCATTTACTAGTTGTCCATGTATGGGAGACTTTATTTTTGGCTTTTCAATTCGATTCCACTGGTCTGTGTCTCTGTTTCTGTTCCAGTACTATACTCTTTTGAATATCATGGTTTTGTAGCATAGTTTAGTTTGGGGATTTGATACCTCCATTATTCTCTTTAGTCAGGAGAGCTTTGGCTATTTGAGATTTTTGTGATTCCATATAAATTGTAGCATCGTTTGTTCTTTGAAGAATGCCATTGAACTTTTTATCAGAATTGTGTTGAATCTGTAAATTGCCTTCTGTATGCTGGCCATTTGATAATGTTAATTCTTCCAATCCATGAATAAGGGATGCCTTTCTATTGCTTTTTTTTTTTATGTATCTTTTTATTTATTTTAGCAATGTTTTGTCATTTTCTTTGTATAGGTCTTTTGCCTCCTATGTTAGTTTTATTCACAGGGATTTAATATTTTAGTATAATTGTAAATGGACTGGTAATAAAAATTTCTTCTTCAGACTGATTATTTACATATAAGAAGACTATTTTACTGTGTTGATTTTTACTTTTATTTTTTTAATGAATAAGATAGTAGTTTATTTTTACATTATTTTTTCCATCTCAGTTGCAATCCCCTTGAGCTTCCCATCACCAAATCACCCATGTGCTATCACCACAGTCCAGTGCACCTCCCTCCCCCTACTGTTTTTGATCCCATCCCCCACTCTACCCCCATAAAATGTCTCTGGTATATAGCTGTTCATTATTATTATTATTTTATTTTATTTTTTGGCCTGGTCTGTTATATTCCTGCTATGAGTGAAACCATCTTGTATTTTTTCTTTCTGGCTTATTTCACTAAGCATGATCTTTTCCCGCTCCATCCATGTTGCTGCAAAAGGCATTTTTTTTTTTTTGGGGTTGCTGAGTAATATTCATTGTGCATATGTACACATCTTTTTAATCCAGTCATCCACTTTTGGGCATTTGGGCTGTTTCCATGTCTTTCCAATTGTGAATAAAACAGCAATAAACATGGGATTGCAGGTATCTTTTTGAGTTAGTGTTTTTGTCTCTTTTGGGTAGATATGCTAGGAGTGAGATTGCTGGGTGTATGGAAGCTCCATGTTTAGCAGTTTGAGGAACCTCCAAACAAGTTTTCCATAGCTGTTGTACTAGTTTGCATTCCCACCATTTGCTGTGTTGATTTTTATATCCTGCTACTTTTCACCATTGAGAATATTGGCTGTGGGTTTATCATATTAACTTGTTATTATGTTAAGGTATGTTCCTTTTATTACAGGAATTTCAAGGGCCTTCATCATAAACAAATGTTGATATTTGTCACGTGATTTCTTTGCATCTTTTTGTTGTTGTGTTGAATTACATCAATTGCTTTTCAGATGTTGAACCATCCTTGTCCCCTTTGGAATAAATTGTTCTCTTGTAATAAATCCCTCATCTTCTTGGACCAAATAAATGAACTTGGTCATGGTGCATTACTCTTTAGATACATTGTTGGATTCTATTTGCTAGAATTTTATTGAGGATTTATGTATCTGTGTTCATTAGGGAGATATTCCTGTAGTTTTATCTTTTTGTGTTGCTTTGGTTTGGTTTTGTCATTAGTGAAATGTTGGCATCATAAGATATATTTGGTATTACTCTTTCTGAATTTTTTTAAAGCGTTTTTTGTAGGAGAGGCACTAATTGATCTTTGAATATTTGGTGGAACTCATTTGTGAATTGTTAGGTCTTGGGCTTTTGTTTTGGGGGAGGGTTTTGATTACTGTTTCAATTTCATTATTTGTAATTGGTTTGTTTAAGTTTTCGTTATCTTCTTTACACAGCTTTGGGTGATTAAGTTCTAGGAATTTGTCCATCCCTTCTAATTGTTGAAC